AAACAAAGACGACATGATCGAACATCCAATAATTGGTTCAGATGCAGGTCCTTGTTGGTGGATATGAAGAATCCAAGGCAGTTTTCTTCACATACCTTCAATCATTCTGTAAAGCGCTGACCACCATCCATCTTTAGAAATCTGGTTTTGATCCAGAGACTCTTCGATTGCTTTGTTGTGTTTTCCTTCCAAGAGTCCCTGAAGAGTTATCACGGCATCCTTGGTTTTCTTGAGGATGCTGTTTGAATTTAAATATTTTAATAAAAAAATAAAATAATATATTTTATAAATTGAATTTATTGTTCTATTAATGACTTAATCAAACTAGTCATTATAGGTTAATTACCTTATTTAAAAGTACATTATTTCATAATAATTGCTCAATTTATTTTTATTATTAACCTATAAATGAGAGTTACAAGACTCTAAATCCTATAAATAAGACATGTCTTTTTGCTCAAAAATAGTGTATTCCTCCACATTCTTCTTTCTTACCTCATTTTATTTTTTAAATATTCTTAGGTAAAAAAAGGTGTTTTGCGTTAGGTAACTCTATAAATAGTGTAGATTCATAAAGTATAATTATAAAGCTATAGCATCCTGAGAGCAATATACTATATATATTTCTGCCTTAAAGTAAGCAAGCTTTTCACGTTTATTTTGATGATATTATCTTATTGATATTTCTTGATAAGTTCACTAATTATTATTTTATTTAATCTTGCGACCGAAACATAACAATGACATGATGTGGAGATGGAGGAGAGTGTTTGCAAAACAACAATTTTAAGGCGATTAAATATGCAAAACAAAATTGAAACTTATGCTGACCCATGTAAGCAAAATATAAATTATTTGTTTTCGATTCCTCAAACAAGTATGAGTTCTTAGGTCCTAATGCGATTACTAGCACATGCTTGAATGGTAAGCTATTTATTTTAATGGCATGTAAAGTTAAAACAAAAAAAAAAAAAAATCAGTGCATACCCTATCACCATCATGCGGTTGCTTTTGCAAATGAATATATTATTATTATTATTGTCGTCGTCGTCATCGTCATCGTCATATGCGGTTGCTTTTGCAAATGAATATATTATTATTATTATTGTCGTCGTCGTCATCGTCATCGTCATCGTCATC